GGGTCTCCTGATCAGTCCCCTCTACTGCGTTGACCACAAGCATATGCTGTCCATATTATCTGTCCCTCAAAGTCTCTAACTAAAGCCCCAGTCCCATACCTCACAGTCCCTGTGATCTTTTGAGCGCCGCGTGAAGGAGCGTGGATGGGTCGGCTTGTAAACAGAAGCCGTGGTGAGAGCTGGGAAGCCCCGTTCCTGGAAGGCCAGTGCAGGATGCCCAGCTGCCAGGGACTCGCTCAGCCTGATTCAGGCTTCACAGAGACACGGCAGGACAGACAGCCGCGGCCAAGATGCATCCTGCATGGGCCAGGTCCTAGGAAGGGCAGAGGGACCTGTCACCGGGACGCCCCTCCCTCCAGCGTCCTCTCCAGGGAGTGGAATTGGAAAGGCCTGAGGACTCAGTAATCCCCAGCCCTCCCCTCAGCCAATGTCAACTTCAATTGCTCTTCCCAATAGTGACCCTGAGCCTTTCTCTTCTCCTATTGCAGGGGCTGTCGTTTCAACACAGCACTCCTCTCAGCACATCCTTGGTCGATGGGTTTAGGCTTTTGGGTTTGAGCTTCCGCTCCTATAAATATTACTGACTTTACGTGGCCAGTGGCAATTCGTGTGACCACTGCCCTCCCCCGAGGTTCCTACAGAAGAGAAGGGCATGTTCACTTCTGCAGGTGTTTATTGAACTGTTTGGACTTCATGAAGCACTTACAGAGGAAAAAGCATTGTGTGGGAGATTCTTAAACTTTCATCTTATTCTTTTGGATTTAAAATCAATGTAAATAATTAATTTTCTAAATATAAAAATGATTCTGATAACAAATAGAATATTACTGGTGTATATTTGGAACATATCATAGATTTTAAATGAAAAGCAAATCAACAAGAATTATAAAAAATTCCTTATGAGCTCCTTCGTTGTCTTTTGCTGGTTTCTTTGGATCAAGTTGGAGATGCGGCACGTGATGGGTTTTCATTTCTTGAAGAAAGTGTTTTATGCGTCATTCACCAGAAGACTCCGACTGTTTAGAAAGATTGAGTCCGTCCTTCAGTTTCCCTGATTCTCGATCGAGAAGGAGGAGGTGGAGGAAGCAGGAAGTGAGGCGGGTGGGAAGGTGAACAGAGCAGAGTCTGGGGCAGTCACAGGAGGGGAAGGAAAAGGGGCGCAGGAGGGGAGAAAGCAGAGGGACTGTGAGACCTGAGGGGAGGGATGGAGCTGGGGCCCAGGGGGGAGCAGGTGACCCAGAGGAGGAGACAGGCCCAGGGAGAGAAGGGCAGGGGGCAGAAGGAGGGAGGAACCTCACCCCGAGAATGTCCTTCAGCTCCTGCTTTTTGGTTTTAATGTGTTCTACCAGGTTAGGCCAGGGCCTGAATGGCTGGCCCTGGTTGTCCACGAAGGTGACCCAGCAGTACTGGAGCTCTATGGGAACAGGGAGGGAAAGGTGAGCTCCTTCTAGGGCGGGGAGGGCCCAGGTCTCTGACTCTAGGGACACACCCTCCCCATCAGGATCTCCCTGCCCCCTTTCTCTCTCCTCCCAAGGCACTGAGCTCATCCCTCAAATTCTTTCTTCCACTGGAATCTGAGGCAGCCCCTCCCCTTCTACCAGGAAGGACCTGGGTCCTGATGGCACAGGGACCCACCTCCCCCCTTCCCAGGACCCCCTCTCTCCCCTGAACTCTCTCCTCCAGGGGACTCTGTCCTCTCCAGACCCAGCAGCCCCCCCTGCAGGCAGCTGACAGGCATCCCCACCTGGATTCTCCTCCTGCCCCCTCTGTGTAGCCATTTCCTAGCCTCTCTGCCCGCCCACCTCCCACCCTCAGGAGTCCCTGCTGACCGTCGCGGGTCATGATGGCGAGTTGGGCCCTAGCGTCCCGCAGCTTGCGCAGCCCATCCTCATATCCACTGCATAGGGAATGGATGTCAGCAGCGAAGATGCGCAGTGTCACATGGCTGTTCTCACCCAGGAATTCCACCAGTTTCTGGGCACAGTCAGGGTAAGGGCTCCAGGACATGTACCAGGTGAGTCTGTACTGCCTCCCCCTATCCAGGTTCCAAGACTGGAACAGATCCAGGAAGGACAACTCTGCATAAGGGCCGCGTCTCCGGCCATTGTTATCCACCAGCCAGCACGACTCTTTATGACGGGGTTCCTTGTATGTCTGAGCACAGAGCGGGGAGAGAAGAGGGATCTGTCACTTGCTGTGAACAGGGGAGGGTGGCACCAGCCAGAGGCAGTGAGGCACTGGCCTCCAGCACAGAATTGAAGGGGCACAGCTCAGCGTCAGGATAAACGCTGTTTCAATGCAGGATCTACATGGTCAAAGGGAAGGCAACTCATGAACCACATAATATCAGCATCTACAAAGGGCACATCAGCAGTGAGGACTTGTTCTACCTCAGCAAACCATGGCTCCCATGGCTCTGTAGCTGATCAGTCTTCACTTAGCCTGTTGATATTCCATTCACCATGGAATTTGCATTAGTTTTGATTTTTTAAAGTTTTGCATTAAATATGGTTCTTTTTTCAAATACTCACCTGGGGAGATTTTTTCCATTGATCTTTAGAGAAAGGGTAGAGGGATGGAGGAGGGGGCAGAGAGAGAGAGAAACATCAATGTGGGAGAGACACATCCACTGGTTGCTCACCCCACGCTCCAAGACCCGGGGCCAGGGATCAAAGCTGCAACTGAGATAGGTGCCTTTAGCCTGGAATCCTACCCCTGGCCCCTGAATTGTGCAGGCTGACGCTCTAACCACTGAGAACACAGATCTGGGTCCCATATGATTTATCTTGATACAGAGTTCCCAGAGAGGCTGTATTTCGTGCCCAACGCCTATGCCTTCAGGAGCTGCACCTACTCAGACCCTGCAGGGGAACAAAGAGCTGAGGACAGCCCAGCCGGTGTGGCTCAATGGATTGAGCAGCGACTCAGCCACAGACAGGTCACTGGTTCCATTCCTGGTGAGGGCCCAGGCCCAGGCCAGGGTTGCAGGCTTGATTCTCAGTAGGAGGTGTGCAGGAGGCAGCCAACCAATGGTTCTCTCTCATCATTGATATTTCTATCTCTCTCTCCCTTCCTCTCTGGAATCAATAAAATTCTTTTAAATAATTAAATAAGTAAGTAAGTAAATAAATATAAATAAATAAATATAAATAAATGAATATAAATAAATCAATATAAATAAATAAATAGCTGAGGACAGAGGGAGGAGGCAGCTGAGCCCCAAGATCCTGGGCCTGATGCCACAGGGGTGGGTGCTTCCTCCAGGCAGGGGAGCTCTCCCTCTGCTCCCCTACCTCCGGCTCCCGCCTGTGCACCAACACCTCCACACACTTCCACTCTGGGCTCCCCCCTGTGCTGAGCCCAAGGGTGACACAACTCTGCGGGAAGAAGGGGTGAGGGCACCGAGGCAGAGGTGCTGGAGACACGGGATGAGCGTCACTCTTGGGCTCACAGGATTATGGAGATTAGCCCACCGGCCCAGGGAAGGGTTTTCAACCAGGGGCTCAGGGAGGAGGAAGAAGTCAGGCCCACGGAGCTAGCACAGAGCCCTGGTGGCAGTGGATGGTACCTGGGGACCCAGGAGGCGTCCTGGGTTACGTGCAGCTGGCAATGCACTTGTGGGGACAGCACCCTGGCAGGCTCTCCCAGGAGTGACTGGAGGGAGCACCAAGGGGGAGCTCTGGCTCTCTGGCCAGGGGCGGCCCGGGCGGGTTCAGGGGAGAACTGTCCCTTTGTCCAGGTGCCTTTCCCTCTGGCCTGACCCCTCCTCAGAGGCACAGCAGGAGGGACAGGCTGACCCTGGAGGCTGGGCTGACCCTGGGCTGGTGGGCCCAGGCCCTGGGACACTGTGACTGCTTTCTGATGTGGGGCCCAAAGCTGCCAATCACAGCAGAGTCCGTCCTCCCTGCCTCTGGGCAACGCCACAGCAGCTGGGGGCCCAGGGACATTGCTCAGAGGACACCCCACAGGCATGGAACCTTCTCCCCGAGTGTCCCGGGGGCCCTGCCTGCTGTCCTCGCTCACCAGTTTGCGCCGAAAGCCCTGGTACTTCTTCACTTTGGTCCATTTACCGTCCTTCCAGACCTCCACCTCGTAGCACAGGTATGTTTGGTTCTTATGTTTGTTACGGAAGTTTCTCCTGAAGGTTGCTTTATTGATCAGATTTCTGTGGGCACAGGCAGGAGGAAGCAAGGCATGGGGCTCCTCTGGGGATCACCCCGTTCTCCTCCCCTCTGCACCCACATCCCGACTAGAACCACAGAGGATGGGTGTCCACTCACTTAGCTGGAGCCACCTGACCTCCCTCTCTGACCCTTTGGGGGCTCTTGGGGAGGTCAGTCCAGTCCTTTTTAAGGGTCCCCCCCCGGGAGCAGTGCAGGGGCTCAGAGCTCTGACGGGGCCTCTCCTGGCATCACCGTCCTGCCCTCGTCCCGCTGACCCAGCCCTGCCAGGTGCAGCCCAGTGGCGCTGTTTCCTCTGCTCTTCTGGGTTAACCTGAGCCACATGGTGCATCAGGGGAAAGGGTGGCCCCATCGGAGAAAAGAGATGCCAAACTAGTCTTCGCAAATAACTCATGACATTCCCTTCTCATCATGAAAACAGTCATGTCCTTTACAAAAACAAAAATATAAATCTGAACGTGACCTCCTAGGGCATTGATGGCGAACCTTTTGAGCTCGGCGTGTCAGCATTTTGAAAAACCCTAACTTAACTCTGATGCCGGGTCACATATAGAAATTTTTGATATTTGCAACCATAGTAAAACAAAGGTTTATATTTTTTATTTATATTATATATATAAATGCCATTTAACAAAGAAAAATCAACCAAAAAAATGAGTTCGCGTGTCACCTCTGACTCGCCTGTCATAGGTTCGCCATCACTGTCCTAGGGCCTCAGTTCAGAGCAGAAAGAATAGATTTCATGGGAGACGGAGGGAGAGGAGAAACAGGGACCCTCAAACGCGACACCAAGAGTCTAGCCAGGGGCTTAGGGGAGGCGGGTAGGATAGGCCCACTGGGCATCAGCTGAGGGGTCATGGACAAAGAAGGGCCATCAGGAGGGACGGGAGAAGCAGGGGGTCCCCTGGGGAGAAGGCAAGTCCCCTTCAGGGAGCCAGGAGGAGGGGCTCAGAAGCAGGGCTGCTCCAGGGGCGGGTGGTACCTGCCAGTTGGTGCTGGGTTGTTCTCCATGTCTCAGCTCCTTCACCTTCTCTTCTAGCCACAGGCCGTCCTGTGTCTGGGACGCTTTCAAGGACTGAGGTGCCTTATATGCCATGGAAGCACCTGGAAGCTGCTGAGCTGGCCCTGCTAAGCCCCACCCCTTCCCAAAACTAAAGACACTCATGCCACCCACATAGTGTCATAGGAGAGGGAACTTTTCTGCCAAATGTCTCATCCTGTGCCCTCAGGGGCAAGTTAGGTTTTGATTTCTCTGTTCTGACCAAGGCCCTCCCTGGACTGACCTGGGCCAGTGAGGTCCCAGGAGGTGGGGTCACCCTGGGCAGCACAGCACAGCCAGGCAGGAGGCGAGAGCGCAGGTGAGAGGACAGGTGCTCCTACCTGAGGAGGGTCCGGGCACAGGACACGGAGCCTCCACAGGACAGGCCCCGGGTGCCCATCCCTGACTCTCCCGCGGCCGCCAGTGCAGGGCATGGCCGGGCCCAGTGCAGGGACCTGCGGGGCTGAGCCAGGAGGGAGACTCTGCCCTGAGAGGAAGGGCAGGGCAGGACCAACGTGAGCTGAGCTCCCCTTAGGAGCCACCCTGTAAGGGAAGGAACTGGACTCGGAGCCTTTGTCCGCCCATCACACAGAGGAGAACAGAGAGGCTCCCAGCAGGGCAGCCAGGATGGCCTGGGAGCAGAGGATGCAGGGTGTGCCCGCCTCAGGAAGGGCCACTGCTCGTCCTCTCCACCCCCAGCTGTGAGGAGCCAGGGGACTTTGTGTTCCAGGCTCAAGTGTGACCTGAGCCCCAGCTGGTAGAGTTTGTCCCCGAGGGGATGCCCCTCTGTCCCACTGACTGTCCATCCGGCTCCTCTCAGACCACCCTGTGCCGGCCCCCCGCTCCCTCCCAGGGGACATGCCCAGCTCAGGGAGGGCGGGGCCAGCCCCCCGGAGTCCGACCCTGGCCGCCCGCACTGAGAACCAAGCTGCTCCCTTTCAGACCGGCTCCTCACATCGTTCACGTGTAATACAGGGTCCCCCTCTTTATGGGCTGGGCGCCCCTCCACATGCACAAACAGGTGTCCTCTGCACCAAGCCCCTCTCACCTGCTCTGTCCTTGGACCTTGGTGGCCCTGGGAGCAGCCATGCTGTCCTGCTGGAGGCTCAAGGCTTTGCAGGCGTGGAACAGGCACATCCGGGTGTGTTGTGGCTTCTGCTAGATTTGCTACTTCATTGATCACGATATCCACCCAAACACACCGTCCCCCCCACCCCCGCGAGAAGTTTCCAGAGACCAAGCCTGGGGGTCCCTGAGAATCGCACCAGTGATGCGCACAGATCTTGCTTGCCATGGAGGCAGAGTGGTGTGAGATCCATGCCAGCTCCCCTTCTGCATCGCAAAGACTCCTCCTGTCATGCAAGCTATAAAGCACTTCTAGTCCCCACTCGACAAGGATATCCGAAAAGAGTCTACTGCTGAAGAACCTTTTAATAGGTTAAAGTGTATATATCATAAGAATATCGTGATTCAACCGGAACAGGAAGGTAGGGAGTATTATCACATGCCACTCCAGGGACGCTAATG